ACTCTGGCATTCTAACAAGCATTCAAGGCAATTCTAATCCTAGGAGCCCCTGGATGTATCTTTGAGAAACCACCTTTGGCAGGAAAAGGTGCTCCAAGCAGTCCTTACTCAGCCAGCTGTATCCCTGAGTTAATAACTAGTGCAATGGTCCCAGCACTTCGGCACTTTGAAGCTCTGGGAAGGGAGGAAGAGAGGGATGAAGGGAGAAGGAAGGAAAACAGACACCAGCCAGGCAGGTTCCCAATCAACCAGGCAAAACAGGCTGGAAGAAAGCACTGCATTTCTTAGAAAAACATCTCCAGCCTGGTGTGGTGGTACACACCTTTAACCCAGCACTCAGGAGTAAGAGGCAGGTGGCTCTATCTCTGTGAGCTCAGAGCCAGCCTGGTCTACATAGTGAGTTCCAGGCCAGCAAGACCCTGTGTAAAAAAAAAAAAAAATAAGATAAAAAAATGTGTCAACCCAAAATTAAAATAATTTTTAACCAAAAATTCTGAAAGGGACAGAAGAGCATCCCTAACATGGCCCACATGGCTATGGAGCAAGCAGACCATGAGCTGCAAGTGAATGAAAACTCCATCCAATCCACAATCAAATAAACATGACTGGGCTCCCAGCCAAGGAGAATTCTTGGATTGGACTTTTATCAGGAACCTAAATTTTAACCAGCTGGAACTTCTTCTCCCCCTCCCCAAATACCCTATTCCTTTCTACCTTTTGAGATGAAGTATTTGCCTTAAATGGGAAATTTGTTCTTCACTGTAAAGATGGTGCCAGCATACAGCTTCTGATTTGTGGAAGATGCTGTCTTTTGGGGAGGGGGGGTGTGGAAATGTAGAAATTGTCTCAGACACAATAGAACAGGGAACTTGTACTCATTCAGGTAAAGAGGTAAGAAATAACCCTTCCTCCACCACAAGAAAAAAAGCCACCAAACAGAAATTTGTGGGAATGGATTCCTAGCTCTTTTCTTAGTATCACTATGTGATTCATGCTGGCCTGGAACTCATTATATGGCCCCCAGGCTGGCCTTGAACTCTCTGCCTCTCAAGCACTTATAGGTGTGTACCACATGCCTGGCTTCAGAACTCCTTATTCTCTGTAAGACAGGGGAGGTTTGGGAATCTTAAGGCACAAACCATTCCATTAACTTGGGGCTAGGGAGATGGCTCAGTGGGTAAGAGCATGCTGGGTAAGCAAGAGGACCTGAGTTCAAATCCCAAGCACTCAAGTAAAAAATCAGACATGACCATGCATGCCTGTAGCCTAGTGCTATGGGAAGCAGACACAGGAGAAGCTCTGGGGCTTGCTGGCTATCCACCCAGTTAAAGGTTCAGTGTGAGACCTTGTGTCTAGGGAATGAAGCAGAGAATAGAGCAGGATACCTAACGTCTCCTCTGGCCTCTGCATGATTGAGTACACTTGTACAACATAATCTAGTACACCAACACACATACACACACACACACACACACAAAATAGTAGTGTGGTTTCAAACCAGTGTCAATGCAGGAACTAGCCCCTCTGGAAGCTTTACAAATTGTTACTCCTTTGAAAAAACAATCTTTTTGACTCAAACTACGCTTTACCTGGCAATGCCTATGAAGGGTTTTTTTTTTTTCCTTTTTCTAGTAGTTGAGGAAGTGTGCCCACAACTGATTTCTAAAGCAATGAGCTGTGTTTGAGATGGTATCAGCCCCTTAATTACCCCACAAGTAATGGGGAGGTTGTGAAACCTGACCACTTAAACCAGGCCAGTTTGTGGCTCCAGAAGCCACTTTGAAAGCCCTGGGAAAATACCCAGTCCTACAGGGGCCAGGATTTCTGGCCCAAATGTTCCATGGATATCAACTGGGCCATTCACTCTGCTCTCCGGCATCCAAACCTTGTCCTTCCTTCAGGGTTCAAGGTTCTTAGTGAAACTCAAGACTCAAGGAATCCCCTTCCTGTTTGCATCACATAATTTACCTTTAGTCCTTACTCTTCTTGCAGTGCTGGGGATTGACTCCAGGACCTGTAGGATGCTAGGCAAACACTACAAATGAGCTACATACCCAATCCCTTTGTGGGGACTTTTGTTGTTATTGCTGAGACAGCATCTTACTCTGTAGCTCAGGCTAGGCTGGAACTCACAATAATCCTACTGCCTCCACCTTTTCCTATTCATACCCAGCTAGACTGTAAGCAACCTTAGAGCTGAGACTAAGTATCACAGACTAATTACCAGATCTGATTAGGGAGACAGACTCCCAAGTTCCTGACCATTGGTACCTACTGGAGCCCCATGACAGAGCAACTTCTGGCCCATCTTTCTTATTGAGGTGGAGCAGGGAGGGCTTCCTGCAGAGGAAGACAGAAAGGTAAAAAGAAGGGGGATGACGAGAACAGTGTGTGCAAAGGCCTACTGTAGACAGGACACAGAACACAGAAGCCTGGTGCTGAGATCTTGCCTGCCCCTAACTAGAGATAGAACCCAGTGTCGCTGTTCTTCCACTGAACTATATCACCCCACCCCTCACACCCAATACTCTTCTTCCCATTTTGTTTTTTTGTTTTTGACACAAGGTCTTACTAAGTTGCCCAGGCTGGCCCTTGAACTCTTAAAACCCAGGTAGGCCTTAAATTCTTGATCCTCCAGCTTCAGTCACTGGGGTAGCTAGGACTACAGCACCAAACTCTCAATTTTTTTTTTAATGTATTTTTGTCATTTTTATTTTATGTGTATGAGTGTATTGCCTGCATGTATGTGAGTGCACCTGTATTGCACAATGCCGAGGAAGTCAAAAGAGGGTGTCAGATTCCCCTGGAACTGGAGTTAAAGACCGTTTGTAGCCGCCATATGGGTGCTGGGAATTGAACCCGGGTCCTCTTCAAGAGCAGCCAGTGCTCTTAACCACTGAGCCATCTCTCCAGCCCCAGCTCTCTCAACTCTTCAAATCTGTCATGTACATTTAGAGTAAGGCTACAGGGTCTATATGAGCTCAGCCAAGGTATACAGACCTCCCGGTTCCAAGGCCAAAAAGAAAATGAAACACACAAAATGAACCAGTGAGAACCAAAGTGTAAAGGCCCTGAACCAGAAAGTAAAGCCCAGAGCATGGCATTCTGGGAAGGCTTCCCTGAAGAGGCATCATCTGAGCTGACTCTTAGGCCAAGCAGGGGGCTCTCCTCTCTAGGCAGGAAAAGGCTGTCTAAGAAGAGTTCAAGAAGGAAAGCATACCCTGGCAAGTTGAAAGGAATCAGAAGCTAGGGAGCAGGGAGGGAGGGGCAGGGTCTGAACTTAGAAAGGTGGGTGTACAAAGAGGGTGTATTACTTGGGCCCATCCTCACATATACCAGCAGGAAATTACAGGAGGAAAGGAACCATGGGGAAGAGCCTGGAACCTGGAATATGGCCCAGAGGCCCCAGAGCTCATCCAGAAAGGGCATGATGACCCATGGAAAGGATTGTGGGTGCCAAGGCAGGAGCTGTTGAGATCAGCCCCCAACCAGGCACTGTGGTGGGGAAAGGTGGTCCAGAATGTAGGTGACTGATAGGGACTATATTAATTCTGTAGGGGTGTAGACTTATTGGGGACATATTCGTTAAGGTAGAAAGAACAAAACCACCACTTTGGCTTCTTCAGAGATGACTATACCCAGAACATTAAAACTTTACAAGCTATGTGTGTTCTATCTAGTAAATTACCCACTGAAAAGGGTTACTGAAAGGGTACTGAAAAAAAAACAAAAACTGACAAAATCAAGTCTAGATAGAAGAATTGATAAGTCACCATGAGATTGCCTTAAGAAAACTTGGTATCTATTAAACTAATTGTAATGTTTTACTACAATGGAGCACAGTAATAAACTGATGCTTTACTCAAATGAGAAAAAGTTATTAGTTAGCATTCACTAAGGGCAGGAGGGCAGGAATAGCTGCTTAGCTCTAGGACTCTCTCTAAATGTGAGGCAAGTGAGCTGAGGACACCAGCTTGTTTCCCTAAGGGGAGTCATGTCCTGGGTCTTGTCAATACTGCGGCTGTTTAGAACCAAGGGAAGAGGTAAGTCAACCCTTGATCAGCCACACACCCATTCTTGGGGGAAAGAGAACCCATCCATTCTTTCCACATTCTAGGTGAGAAAACTGAGACTCGGCACTCCAGACAAGTTCCCGATGGCCCAGTGCAAAGCTCACAGGGTTTAAGGTGTGAGCGGAGACCCTGCGGCCTCCCGAGTCTCCGTAAGGAGGCTCAAGGCAGACCAAAGAAACTCAAGGCCTCCAGACCAGGGCTTTAAGGACCCGCGGGGATCTACACCCATCACCCAGACAACATCCAAGGAACGCCCAGCTCTGGGGAGAGGGCTTCCAAGCACCCAGAGAAAATATGAGCGCCTCCACAGTCTCGGGTCTGGGGGCACCTGTCTGAGGTGACAGACTAACTCATCCTCAAACCAAGCTGAAGACGGTCCCATCCGTGAACCCATTTGGGAGACTACAGCTGAACGGGAAGCAAAGTTTCTCAGCAAGAGTCGGCGGTGGGGTGGGACAGGGGTGACAAAGCGACAGCGAGAAAGGGGTACATCCTCCCCCGGGCCTCCGGATCCCCTTCCCCGGCCGACCCGGGCCCCGGCAGAACTGTGGACTGCAGGTCCGGGGCATGAATCCCACACCCGCTCGAAAGCGCCCGGGACAGCTCGGGGATCCCAGCCCCAGACGCGCAGCCCAGGAGCAGAGGCCGGGAACAAAGGGTGGGGCGCACAGCCCCCGCCTCGCCGCCCCTCGACCCGCCCTCCCGAGTCGGACCCCGGCCAGCGGCCGCGCCTCAGTAGCAACACAAAGCCAGGGGTCGGCGGCCCCTTTCACCGCGGAGGACGCGCACCCCGAGAGGGGAGCAGCGGTCCGGAGCCGGGGACCTGGGCTGCCCGCAGACCCCGCGTCCTCAGCATCGCCCCGCCAACACCTGCGCCCCTGCCCCGCCTCGCGCCCCAGCTCGAGAAGCCCGCCGTCCCCGCCTTACCCTCCAGCCACAGGTGTCGGCGCCCCTGGCGCGGCCCGAGCCGCCTGCAGCCACCGCCAGCTGCGAGCCGTTGAGGCAGGCGTTGACCGTGAAGAAGAAGGAGCAGAGCTGCAGCCACGGGGCCATGGCGTGCGCTCGCCCAGCCCGGCCCTTCTCCGCCGCCCGGCCGCCTGAGGCTGGCCAGCCCCGAGTGGGCGGTGGCGGCGGTGGAGCGGCCCACACCGAGCATGCGCCTGCCCCTCGCCCCGCCCCTTCCCTCCAGGTCCCACCCCAGCCTCGATTCAGCCCTGGTCCAGCCCCCCTAGCCCCGCCCGCTCCCGGCTGGTCCTCGTCCAGCTGCTGCTGAGGCTCTGGCAGCCGTCTGTTTCCGCCCCCTTATTAATCCAAAGGATTTATCCAGGGGATGGCTGCTCCATGCAAAAACTTGGGGCGACTCAAAGAATATAATAATAGTAATTTTTAAAATACTAACTTAC